CATAACATTATACATTTATATATATATTTATTATTTTTATTATATTGACCTTTCAGCTGCATCTGGCTAACAATACAGAAGTTACAATGATGCAACTCACGTGGACTCGTGTTAACGTATCAAATAACATAAAACTGACCTTCGGTCTGTACAAAGTAACTTGTCTTGGCTGTGTTTTAGTAGACTAGTATTTTGTAAAATACAGTCAAATTTCAATTATTACACATTATATATGTTTGTAGATTATTGCTATTTTGAAATAAATTCTTAAAGTTATTTTTCCTAAAACATAGAACAGTAAATAAAGAAGTAAAGCAAACAATTATCTCTTCTAGTTATGACCTTTATATTCAGTTACTGCTTGACATAGGTTGCTAAGTCTTTAAAAAAATTGCACTTGGAGGATATGAAACAAAATATTTTTTTTTAGGTTTTATATATACATTTAAATAACAAAAAGAATCATAAATTACTACATTAATACCATAGAATTCCACTATAATTTATAAAGCTTAGTAACTAACATGTATTTTAGTCTAAAAAAATATGAAATTTCAAGCAGAGTAAAGACACAACCTACATCGTTTAAATTTTGTTTAGTTACAGAGCTATCAAATACAAATTCAGACCCCTCTTGCCACATCCTCTCTTTCAGGATTTGTTAATAGTTCTCTCTATGTTTAATTATATATTACCTATAACCAATAGAAAGTCAAGGTTTTCATCTATCGAATGATGTATTCTATTATAATATATTCTGAATAGATAAGCCTCAGTTTTACTGTTAGTACAAGCTTCATTCCCGTGGGAAAGTTAACGAATATCTTTGATGAATTTGTAATGATTCTTGTTGCATAGTTAGAAAGCCAGAAAAATTGTGATTCTTAGAGGAAATTTTGTAAGTTATTAGTCTATATTCTTTGATGCATTATTTAATTAAATATAAATTATTCAATGCACTACTGCCATTAGTATTAAAAAAGTAGGGTTAAGTCTCATCAACAATCGACATGCAAGAAAAAAGAAGATTGGGTAAATACTTTATTTCTTGTTTTTCATGTTTATTCTTTATTTATTATTATGTAAGTAACTAAAATGTAAAAATAGATATATCTTTAGGTTAGATCAGGTAAAATAAACAATAATAATAATATAATAAAAATATTTCATGAGCCACACACGTGAGCAGCTCAGAGTAACTTGAGGGTAACTTAATTTGATATTTTAACATGAGCTGTATGTTGCCCAAGTGATTTACATTTTATAATGGCACGAATAGTAGTTAGATATGCTTCAAAGGGCAATAAAACAACAAATTTAATTACAAATAGATGCATACTGTTCTGAATTTAAAGCTACTTAGGATAAACGAATGTAGTTTCATGCTACATTTGAAGCCATTCTAGAAAGAAAAGGAGGGTGATTTAGATTTTTTTGGGGGGTTACAAGGTCAGTCAAATTGACCAACCTTGTAGAGAGTTAGGGTAGAGAAAATAACAGATAAAATATATAGTTTTACTGAAAACAAACATTTGAAATCTATTTAGGAGGTTTTAGAAGTTACACAAATGAATTTTGGGATGATGAAAAGTATTTTTAATTTTAACATGAAAATTACTTTTCACACGGACAATTCAAAACAAATCCTCAATATATTCATGGACAAATCTTTATTTTAGTTTATAAAAAATACTTCACTGAGAAATATAATTTTTTGTATGTGTAAGACTGCCAAATTTTGTGAAGATATACACACTATATTTCATGTTATATGTATTAAATCTATAAAGATTTTATACGAGTACAAAAAAGGTCACGTAGTCGGTCAAATTGACCGAGCCTGTGTGGAGAGAACTAATGAAACTGTGAAAATTAATGCGGCTACAGGTACCTATATATTTATGTTTAAGGTAACCTTAACAGCTGTGTCAGGTATATATGTAGTATCTTCTCAACATACTAGTCCTCTCGAAGAATTTCAACGATTACATCACGAGCAGCAGCAACATTTTCAGCGAACGGCTCAGCAGGCCAAGTGGTTTCTTCCACAGATAGTAAAATATTATGTACTGCTTCATGATCTTGTTGAAGGAGATCTTTCAGTGTGGGTAACAATTTAATCTTTTGTTTTTTAATTTTAACTAGGTTTTAAAGTGTATGAAATGAGAGAGGTTGTTTCAGTGAAACATTTGGTAGACAATGTTTCTTCACCTATCTTGAAATACCATCTCCTCTTCTTTCAACAGGCAGTTTCAGTCCATTAAAGTTCTCAAACCTTCTGTGATGAGAGGGTTTAAGAGTACAATATATTTTTGGTTGAAGTAGTGACTGAATATTCTCTCTCTTTCTTTCTTTGCTATTTTAAAGTTTTTGGTGTCAAGTTCAGCTTTACTGAAGATTTATATTTTCAGTGAGATGAATAACGTATGATAATGTCACACATTCTGTGTTTATCAGGGCTGAGTCGGCATTCCACAGTATCAAGATGACCTATGGTGCTCAGTTCTGTTATCTACTTCAGATCAACTCGCATCAAGACATAACTGTTTCAGGAATAAACGATACTCAAAAAACAAGCACTCTTCCTGATTCGTGGAAGCAGTTTCTTCATCAAACTGTTGAAAAACCAGTAAGTGGTTTAATCATGATCTTAGTTGCTGACATGTATTTCCACATTTATAGAAATAACTGTGAGATATTAAATCACAATTAGGCTTATAGAAATTTGAATGACATCTTTCTTTACTGGGTTTCCAGTAAACAGAGTGTATAGTAACATTTCATCTGTGTACTTTACTCGTTGCACACTGCTGCTGACTAGGCTTTATACCCACTACCAGAACTCATTAATTCAGCTGGTTTAAGCACACAGAGTCTCAGTTGAAAAGCTATGTGAATCTGTTATTTATGATATAAGTCATGATTATACACCATAAGACTTGATTTTTATAAAAAAACAACTTTTATATCAAGTCGTGTTAGAAATTTTGTTTAACAAATCTGTTTGCTTGAATAATGCTGTAGATTTTTTACATCAACTTAACTATCTCATTACTCATGAAAGAAAAGTATTACTGCAGGTACAGTTCTAACTTTGAGAATACAAACATTAATGAGTTTAACATTCACTTTAGATGACAGCTTGCAGTGGATAGTGGAAAATAAATATTTTTTATTACATTAATTTAATGTTTCAGTCATTATTATAATTTTTGTCAAGTACAAAACATAAAATCAAGTTGAAATATCATAACAATGTAGAGAGAGTCAAAGCACATTTGATCATGTATGGAAATACAAATGAAACTTTATATTTACTGGGAAGAAAATGAGGGTAAAGATGTTAATGTAAGTAAGGGGTTGTCTGTATGTTTAGTAATTGTAGATTTATGTAATTTAATTAGTAAGACAGCACGTGTTAGGTTCACGTTTTAAGGTGGTAACATTATTTTCTGAGAATGTATGATTATTGTTTTGTACTTGAGAGATTTTTGCTCTTCCTTTATTCAAATGTTAATTTATTTCACCTAGATAAAAGTGCAAAGAGTTTAATGATAAATATCTGTAGTACTCAGTGAAGTGCTTAGAAAGAAAAATGTCTAAAATAAAAGAAATTGTTTTTAAAGCAAACTTTTGGAATAGGGAAATAAATATCGATATTCACATTTAATTTATATAAAGTTTCATAATACACTTTTTAAATATATTGTTCTTATTCTAATTACCAGCCTTCTCAAGGAAAGGATGTTGAAATTCCTTCAGCTTTGACAGATGGAACTTTCAATAATTTTGTGGAAGTTGGGCAAGAAGCCCAACTTCATGTAGGTGAGTAAATTAAATGTTAGTGGCTATAATTTACTCACCTACAGCTGTAGCCACTAACATTTAATTTACTCACCTATAGCTAAGTGTTAGTGGCTACAGCTGTAGGTGAGTAATTTAAATGTTAGTGGCTACAGCTGTAGGTGAGTAAATTAAATGTTAGTGGCTACAGCTGTAGGTGAGTAAATTAAATGTTAGTGGCTACAGCTATAGGTGTTAATGTTTGATGGTGTACAAGGGCTATTTTTTATATGATTTTTGCTTGAGAAAGAGGATAACATATCCCCTGAAGTAAAACACATTTTCACAAGTTGACTGTCTTGATTACAGCAATGTTTTGTGTGGTAATTAGATACTGTGCTTGTGAAGGGGGATAAAAACACCTTGAAATAGGGAACATTTCCTCTTTCTTTCACACTTTTGATTTCTATCACTTACAGTTGACAGCTTGATTACTCTAATTGTTTGTATGGTAACTGGAAACTGTCTAATGGTGTAATGGGCTACCTTGTTTTAGGATTTTTTCCTGAGAAGGGACATAAAAAAAGAACCTGAAATAGCATACATTTTGTTTAGTGATGGCAAAAGGAGGCCAGAACCTTGAACCATAGTTTTGTTTTTCATCAGTTTAAAATTTTGAATTAGAATTTAATATGTGTTACCTTTCAAGCAGCAAAAAAAGATAAAACACTATTGATTCTTCTTTTTTATCAGATTATAATGGAGAGACAGAAAAACCTGTAAATGATGTTCTGATGTCTCACCCACTCTCAGAAGAAAGTGATAGTTCTCCAGTGTCCCAAACACCTGTAAGTAGTATACTTAATGGTTATAAGTCTTACAACATCATTAGTATAAGGCATTAGACAATGTGAAGTTAACGAGTTAGGTTTGAGGTGCATGTGGGGGAGTGATGTTTTGTAACTTGCAGATGCAGTGTTTTTTATCACTGCAGTTTTTTTTAACGACAATATTATTTAGCAGAATACTGCTCGATATATAACTACTTGATAAAACTGTCATTGTTTAATGGTATTTGAATGAGAATTAATTCTCTGTGGACTCTGGTAAACAGTTACCCAGTAACATGCCAAATAATAATGCCTGACCACCTGCTGTTTTTCAAAGTGACTGCTTTTATTTGTAAAAACCTTACATATTAAATATTTCCAAAACTAATAACACGATTAAATAAATTCTTATTATTCTCATAAAATAATCTCCTAATGGTAAAATAACTTGAGATACAGGGTAGGTCAAAATTTGTCAAATTTATAGTCACATACAAAAGTTGATGAAACTAATTTATTATCAATGTATGTCAATAAACTTATAATTCAAGTTCTAAGATATATACAAGTTTTTAATCCTTCACTTTTTATCATGTGGTACTTCTTTGTTCAGAACTGTCCATCCTATATTACTTTATATGTTTCTGAGAGCTTATACACTTATAAGTTAGACAATCTTGAGCTAAAACAAAAGTTTATCACATCTGTTCTTGTTTTACTGAGTTAAACACCATAAACTGAAACTCGCATGCCACACCCCTCCTAGCACAAGTTGTCTTTAAAAAATGTTAATAATCATACCAAACATTTGCCAATGGATTATTTATAACCAACAGAAAAAGAAGATTTTAACTTGCTTCTTTCCTTATGAGGTTAGCTCATTCTCGTGATAGGTTTTGAGTTATTCTGCATCAATTTCATTGTTTGTTATAGTTGAGATCACCTCAGCCAGGTAAGAAAGTTAGTTAATGCAAATATAACTTTGTTATAAAGCCAGTTAAATAGTTTTAGGACATTTGCCTGTTAATATTTTTTGTTCTAAATTGCATATTTGAAATAAGTAAACCTCTGACTAAGCTGGAAAAACTTAACCTTGATTTCACTACAGTAATTAACCTTTAAAGTCAACTGAATTTTATATCTTTAAATTTTTAATGATTTGTTGTGGGGAAATCCATTTTACTTTAAACAAAATAATTTTTACTTCCCTCATTAATACAGGAGAATCCATTTTATCGAATCTTTATGATATTGGAAACAACTATTAAATAAGGGGGTTCTGCCTAATGCTATTATAGAAAGATAATTTTGGTTCATAAACACCAATAAGTATTTACTTCATAAACTTCAACATATTTCTTCTAAAGTTACATGCATTCTGTTTACAATAATGTTTTTTTTAAATTTATTATCTGACAACTATGGTGACATTTAGTTTTACATATAAAAGACAGTTGATTGTATTGTATATGAGAATGTTGACTTTGATTTGTAGGCTAGAAAACCATATGATTAGATATTGTTATTAAATCTAGCTTCTCTGTTGTCTTCGATGTATAAGCTAGGAAGCTATACAGTTAGATATTGTTATTAAATCTAGCTGATCTGTTGTCTTTGATGTATAAGCTAGGGAGCTGTACAGTTAGATATTGTTATTAAATCTAGCTGATCTGTTGTCTTTGATGTATAAGCTAGGGAGCTGTACAGTTAGATATTGTTATTAAATCTAGCTGTTCTGTTGTCTTTGATGTATAAGCTAGGGAGCTGTACATTTAGATATGGTTATTAAATCTAGCTGCTCTGTTGTCTTTGATGTATAAGCTAGGTATCTATACAGTTAGATATTGTTATTAAATCTAGCTGCTCTGTTGTCTTTGATGTATGAGCTTGGGAGCAATACAGTCAGATATTGTTATTAAATCTAGCTGCTCTGTTGTCTTTGATGTATGAGCTAGGGAGTTATACAGTTAGATATTGTTGTTAAAACTAGCTGCTCTGTTGTCTTTTACATGTTGCCAAGGGAGCTGTACTATTAGATATTGTTGTGAAATCTTGCTTCTATGTTGAATATGATCTACAGGCTGAGAAGCCATACAGTTAAACATTGTTGTGTAATCTTGTTTGTTTGTTCACTTTGATTTAAAGGACAAAGAACTGTATAGTACTAAAATGCTAGAGAAGTAAAAGTTACTGGTAATGTTTCATCTGTAGTTAAGTAATCTTTTATTCCTCCTAAGCTGGACTCATTGACATCAAGCTGGTCAAGTCAAACAAGTGCCAAATGGTCATCAGCATCACAACCACATGGCATGTGTCTATCTGTTTCTGACATAGATAATATCAAGAATTTTGTTCAGGAGTTTTGTCTTCAAGCCTTGATGCCTTTTGCTGAACGGCAGATTCGACATTTAAGTGAGCAGGTAAGCATTTGTTAACCCTAAAATTGTGTTGAAACATTGAGTACAGGAATTTATTATAATTAATTCTTTGGTTTGTAATAAAACTATGTTGTAGAATAGAATGCTTGAACTGAGATAGGTAAGGTAGATGACAACAAAATGCATAAAATTAGATACTTTTGTAAGACCCTGTGCCTTATTTTCAACCTTTGTCTAGGATATCTTGCACCTGTAATTTGGTATTCAATAACTGTATATGTTCTTTCATTAAGAGACCTGACATTTTTGTCTTATAACGTTAGTGTTGTTGTTATACTTTAAATAAGACGATGTATAAACTGAAATACTTGCTTCTTACAACTAGGTAGCCAACAGAAAGGGCCTGCATCGATCACTTTTCAGTGCTACCAAGAAATGGTTTGGAAGTAGTAAACCTGGACTCCAGGGTGTCACTCCAGCTTCTAACTCAGTAGTGTAAGATGAATTTTTTTTTTTTTTTTTATATTTCAAAGGGTTTTATATACTCATATCTTTATTGTTGATAGTAATACGTGTAACTTTGCTAACCCTGACAGTCAGTGTGTTTTTATTGTTGACAGTAATACGTGTAACTTTTGCTAACCCTAACAATGGACGTGGCTGCTACCACCCCAGTATAATTGTGCTGAAACTCATCCTCTAGCATGAATTTACGACGTTTAACCTTTTTCAAGTGAACATATCCTGATTTTGCTTAAAGTGATGAAGAAAAATGTTCTACACTATAGTGTTGGTATAGTTGTTAGGATATGATCATTTAACATTAAAGTTGTGTGCTTTAAGAAGAATCTAGTTTACCAGATGTATCAGTATTCTTGAGACTGAAATTTGCTGATACTTTGCTTGTTTAAACAAGCAAGTAAGAAAAAACGTGTTGAAACGTCAATTTGTGTCTAGAGATTTTTTTTAACACAATTATTTCAATAAGTTCATTAAATATTTTAAACACGAGTTGTGTAAAACAGTATTTCAGATCTGTCTTTCACAAGATAACGTTTTTTTTAATACAAAAACTTCTCACCTGTTCTGGAAATGCAGTAGGAACACACTTAACATGGTGGTTTACTAGTTAATGCATCATACACCACAGCAATTGAAAAAAGTAGTTAAACAATTTTCACTGTCATAATTTGTGGTTCCACTTAATTCATGAAAACAACAGCAGAATACTATGAAAGGTTAAAATAAGTTAATCACAAGTTGATAAGTGCCATCTAGTGAATTGTCTGATCAGATGTATAATACCTTTTAGCTATAGCCAAGATGCACCAGAACTTCAAGTTCGGAGGTTAGGAGACTTAGCTTTTATGTTTCGTTTGTATGACCTGTCGTATCAAGCATACCACAATGCTAAGAGGGAGTTTAACAGTGACCAGGCTTGGTTGTACTGTGCTGGGGCAATGGTAAGTTCATGTGTTACATAACCAGGTCATTTTAAGTTCAAACTTTCTGTTCATTTGTCACATAACGTTTGTTGATAAATGACCTGGTTATAGTTATGTGACAAATGAACAGAAAGTTTGAACTTAAAGTGACCGTTATACAACAAAACAGGTCATTTAAGTTCAAACTTTCTGTTCATTTGTCACATAACTTTTGTTGTATAACCAGGTCATTTATGGTCACTTTATGGTCAAACTTTCTGTATACTGGTGACCTGCATGAGTAACTTTTTCTCATTGATATATGTTTCACTTTTCTTTAATTAGGAAATGGCAGCACTGTCAGTTTTCATGATTGGGAACCTCAGCCAGAGGCCTTACCCCTTCCACTACATGGAGTCTGCAATCAGCATGTACCTTAACACCTGCAAGTAAGAAATGTTAAAATGAAGTAAAAAAGTCTGAAACTTCTGTTAGAGAAAGAGTAATATCTGGTCAACATTTGAGCTAAACAATTTTTACTGGAATCTTGAGAAGTTAATTTGGCTCATCCAATGACAATGACTTCTATATTCCTGTTTCCCTTACAGCAGTTTTAACTGTTAATTTGTATTTTCAGATGTTATTGTGCTGTAACTACATGTGTTTGCTATACTTGTTAGCTTTAGGATAAAATAATTCAAGCATTTTATTACAGGACTTGGTCCAAATTGTGAGTTATCAATTCATTTACTACTAGATTGAGCTGGTTTTTATTATTGTAAGATATGTCTGGATCGAGGAAAAGATCAGTAAAATCAAATTGTTTTCTACGGGCATTCTTTTAACCCTTTCGCAACAAGTTGGTGTAACTTCGCACGTCACGGTCTTTTATAGATTTATTGTCAAAACTTGATTATTACTATATATCAAAACATTGGTTATATTTCAAATTTTAATATTATGTATGTTTTAATTTCTTAATTCAAAGGAAAACATAAATAAAATAGAACCAATATCGTTTTGTCTGTGTGTCACATAGCATCTCCTCATGTCTTGTTGCTCAGTTTATATGTTTTACGCCTGCTATGTACGTCTACAAATGGTTAACAAATTAGAAACATGACTTTTAAATACTGGTAATCTAGAATATAAACTCAGAACCTCCCACCACTTTGATTTGCTGATAAATAAATGTATCTAGAAAACAACTAGAGTGGCTCCTCCTCCTACTCCATTCTTTCCAAGCCTCTTGTTTAGTTCCACCTACTTTTCTTAAGGGTCTGTTTATAACCAATAGAAAAGACATGTTGTGCTTTACATGATTCTGACAGTTGTTTTCAAAGAGCTTGGAAGAGAAAATAATAATTTCTTAACACATATATACTCTGATTCTAAGTGTAGCGTGATTACTCTGAATTTTCAAAGAAAACATTTTAACATATATAACCCGACAAATTAGACAACCTGTTCTCAGAGCAGGGGTCGAGTCAACTATCTTTTTCTGCTTTGTTGCTTTACGAGTAGTGTATTATGTTGGTGTCACGTAAATGGTCTACTGACAGAAGTGGCAATTTATTGGTTTATTTTCAGTGGGGTTCTACTTTAGTTGTTTACAGTAAAATAAACACAGAAAATAAATGTGAAATGTTTAGCAGTTCCAACTTGTGAAAGAAGTACTTTGAAACTTCTTGACCAATAATAACTGAAAATTCTAATTTTACAACTTGTCTTTTCATTATACTTTCGGGTTTGTCTACAGGCTGAAGACTCAAGCATATCTGATAAGATATAATTTTACTGAAAACAAATGTTTGAAATGTATTTAGGAGGTTTTAAAAATTACTCAAAAGAAATTTGAGATTTTTGGAATGAAGAAAAGTATTTTTAATCATAACATGAAAATCACTTCCACTCAGGTTAGTAACGAAACAAACAAATGTTTAGTATAAATACTTCATTAAAAAATTTGATTTTTTGTGTACAAAAGACTTGTAATGTTTACTAAAGGTATACCAAATTTTGTGAAGATGCACTTACTGAATTAAAAGTTATAGTGTAAAAATTTAACGTGTGCTAACATGTATATGAACTCGTGTATATTATATTGAGCCCATTGCAAAAAGGTTAAGAGGTTTATGTAAATTTTTTTACTATAGAACTGACCTGTGTTAATGCTCCAAGTTTTCAACTGTTGAACCACAGGTACGGATCAAAGAGATTATTAACAAAACTGAATTTATTTGGCTTTAGTATCCGATGATCGGTGATAGTGCCCTGTGCATGATGTAAATTCTTTGCCACTTTTAAAAAAAAATCTTTAACGATGCCAACTCGTTCCCTCTATGGGTCGATGCCACATACAAGTGCACCACTTACACTACCATTGATACAGCCCTGCTAAAGATGCCTTTATGAGAGAAACTGTAGTAGTAGTAATAAATTAAATATTTGTGAAATGTACAACTTTCTTTGTTTTCTTCATGTTTTTGTTATAATAGTTACTCCTTAATCTGTTTACGTTGAGATTAACTCTTGAAGTGTAGAAAACCCTATTTTTTCCATAGAATTACTTATCCAGTTAGCCAAACATAAGCTTGGACTTCATTCGTGGAGCTGAGTCAGACTATTAAATATATACTGTTGATTGACTTAGATTAGTAAGTTTAATATCTTACTAGATATGAACACGATTGGCTTGTCTATATTCATATGAATGTAGGATGATACACCTAGCTACAAGGGCCACACTACTAAGTACAGATTGTTTACGTGCTATGGGAATGTACAGCGATGCTGCCCTTCAGTTTATTCGTATGACAAGTGAAGATTCTGACCTTCGAAGTGCTCTACTTCTTGAACAAGCTGCTCATTGTTTTCTCAAGAATAAACTTCCAATGGTCAGGAAATATGCATTCCATGTTATTCTGGCTGGTCATCGTTTCAGCAAAGCAGGACAGAGGAGACATTCTCTTCGGTCCTACAGGGATGCTCTTCAGGTCAGCTTCCCTAACGTGTGTTTCGTAAAATAAAAGTTAGGAATTAATATGAGAAGAAAGAAGATTATATGTTTTAGTCACTAATTTCTACAGTACCCAAGTTATAACAAGTATTTAAATACATAAGAAATTATATAGAAAATATAGTAAGCATTAAGTAGCATACAAGTATACTTGATTTTTGATATAACCCTGAGATACAAACTACGTATAAGTACGTTAATGTGTAAATTGTCATAACACCAGGCTGTTTCCTCTATGAGAAACATAAGCTAATATTTATCTGATTATTGTCTTGAAAAAGCTAACTCATCATTGTCATGTTTAGTAGCCTGTTTGATCACCTAAGTGCAATTATTAATTAGATACTAACCACTAACTAGTTCATATATTCAGACTACTACCCATGACAAGTAGTGAATATCCTGTTTCTGTTCTTCAAGAATCTCTCTTCTGCAGCATCTTGTGCTTCCCATGTAACATTGCTGTGTTGACTGCTACTACCCTTCATTCTTTTCACAGTGAATAGTGAAATTCTATGATTTTTAAAAATTCTGCTTACATATTTGTGTAATTTGTATGTACACTTTGCTTTTTATGCCTAGAGGGAGAGGGGGGGGTTGTTTCTTGTATTCCACGAATGAAGTGATTCTTTGTAGTTTGTAAATATGTATAAATTCAAAAAATATTACAGCATTTGCTAGGGATCCTAAATGCATAAGATGTGTTGATGTCAGAAGGTTTGATACAAACGTTCCCTTCCATACTTGAAGTAATCAACTTTCTCAGATACATTAAAGCCAACCCTGTCAACCCCCTCCGCCTCACATGTATAAAAAAGGTCACACCAAGGTCACAAAAATCCAAAAAGTCCCTATCTGTTAACATGGGAACCGATTTTTCTAATTATTTTTGCTCTATAACTTGGTGGACGTATGTAGAATATCTGAATATTATTCCTCAATGTTCTACCCAAAAATTGTCCATGTCCACTGATAAAAATGGATCTACGAACACATTTTCGTGTTTTTTGAAAACCGAATATGATCAATGCTGCGTGGCAGGGGTATGCACTCTACTAAGTGTCCTTCAAGTTTGTACTTGTATGTATCATATGCACATATAATGAAGAACTTTAGTAAAGTTCATTATCACGTTTTTGTAACTTGTAGCCACATTCTAAATTAGTTTTAGTAAAGTTCATAATCACATGTTGTTTTTTGTAACTTGTAGCCACATTATAAATTAGTTTTAGTAAAGTTCATAATCACATGTTGTTTTTGTAACCTGTAGCCACATTCTAAATTGGTTTTAGTAAAGTTCATAATCACATGTTGTTTTTCTAACCTGTAGCCACATTATAAATTAGTTTTAGTAAAGTTCATAATCACATGTTGTTTTTTGTAACTTGTAACC